TAGTGATGTTTACCGCGCCAATAGTGAGTTTACCGTGCCAATAGTGACGCTTACCGCGCCAATAGTAGTGACGCTTTAATACCGTACCAATGGTCACGTTTACCGTGAAACAGCTCGGTTTTCGCAAAAACTTCACTCGCAATTCTAAAGCTTGTTTATTCTGGTACAATTGTTGATAACGTTACATTGACTACACAGGTACGTTTATTACTGACACTCAAGTAGCCTCCCCATGATATAAAGACTAAGGGATTGGTCAGTTACTTCGGCCTAGGGGGGGGGTCGGTGGATCAGTAGGGGGGTTACCCTGTTTTTCATTGTGCGAATAGGGGGGGTCGCCCTGTTTTTGATAACATGTTTTCCAGAATTCACACACGCGCTCATGCATATATTTTTTTTAATTTTATTTCAGAACAAACGATAAAAAAGTTAATCGTATAAATGTGTTCTTAATAATAACTATTACCTATATTGCCTATAAATTTGTTGATGTAAAAAATGATATAGGTTAAATATTTTGAGGTTAAAGTTGCCAAATAACTAACAGATTATGCAATGCGGCAAAAACCCCAATTATACAATTAAGTTTTAAACACATCCCAAGTCCATGTGCTGCTGATATCAGATTATCAGGAGACGGAAAGACAACACAGCAATTATTACAAAGAGCAGTGACAGTTTTTGTTAAAAGTTAAATTTGTGAATATGCTGATATATAAATTAAAATAAATGATGAACAAATAAATAAATAGTTTTTTGTTTTGTTTTTTTAACTTTTAAATATGCATATTTTGCTCCATAAAATACCAAAATCCAACACAAATTTGAGCAAAAATCAAAGTTTCCTTTGTTTTCATAAGCACAGACTGTGCTTCGGGTGTAAATCATTCCTGGTCTATAAGATATGAAAGATATTTTAAATCCAGCTTAGTTTTCAAAGAGTTCAAACCGCCTAGATTCAAATCCTCTTTTCCTATCTTATAAGAGCGTTTATCAAGTAAGTACTCCACAGCTTTGCTTTTATTTACTTTCTTTAGCAGAATAGATTTCTCTCCTTCCTGCAGCCTTCTCTGTAGTCATTTTTTTGGCTTTATGCTTCCCCTCCCCTCCTAAGGTCTATTAAATGCAAACGCTAAAAATTATGTCAAAATTATGGCAAACCATGATATTTTCCATGCACATACATTTTGTAATCATGTCAGAGCCAAAACTGTTAATGTTTCTTTGTTTTTTTAGGGGGGGTCAGCATGTTTTAAGTTTTAAAATATAATGTGGGGGGGGGGGTCACCCACTTTTTTTTTTATTTGATGGGGGGTGGGTCAACTGAGATTTACAGCTGGCAAAATGAAATCTGCCGACCCCCCTAGGCCGAAGTAACTGACCAATCCCTAAAATATAATAAATTACATCTCTGACGTTTTCTTCGAGACCAGATACGCATCTGCTAATGCGCGACGTTGGTGTATACACAAGCCCTCTGGAAATTGAAGCTGGAGGACTTTTTTTATTTTTACGAATATAAATTATATATAATATTGTCTTCCGCTTCCTTCTTGTATTGTTATCATTTTTACTAGTATGGTTACCATGGGCATCGGGTATTAGTGCTAACAGCTTGTAAGTCTTTATTTTTTCAGTTTTACTGTTGTTTGTTTGTTTGTTTGGTTGTTTTTATTACAATTGTTTATTTATGCCTTGTTATTCTCTTTACCTTACTAAATCCTCTGATGATTTAGTTGTGCAATAACGTTATTATTATTATCATTATTATTATTATTATCATTATTATTATTATTATTATTATTATTATTATTATTATTATTATTATTATTATTATTATTATTATTATTATTATTA